CAATAATGCTTTCCCACAGTCTACCATTTGGCCATTCATTGCTCACCAAATACAAACAATTTCGCAACAAATTAAATTTACTGATTGAAATTACCAAAGCTACCTACTACAAAAATATATTTCTCAAACACAAAAATGATATCAAGTCTACTTGTAATAATATAAATCTGCGGATAAAAAAGAAAAACAAACCCCAATAACCAAACAAATCCCTATTTCAATTGTAACGGTGAACAAACTAACGATCCCGTAACAATTGCATCTGCATTTAATGACTACTTTGTTGAAATCGGACTCTCTTTAGCTAACAAAATTCCCCAAATTAACAAATCTTTTAAGGAATTCTTACCCAACCCTACACCTAATTCTATTTTTCTTACCCCTGTTAATGAATCTGAAGTGGCCTGTATATTAAACTCATTTAATGTTAATAAATCACCCGATATTGATAATTTCCATACCAAAGTCATCAAATATGTTGCCAACTACATCTGTCAACCCCTATGTCATATTTTTATCCTCTCGATTTCCAAGGGGTTTTTCCTAACAGAATGAAGCTAGCCCGTGTTACACCGATTTTTAAATCTGGATCTAAATCTGACCTTTCAAATTATCGCCCAATCTCAATCTTATCAGTCTTCTCAAAAGACCTTGAAAAAATAATTCAAATGTATTACTAAATTTAATATATTTATGACAGACAATTTGGATTCAGAAAAGGCTACAATACATCCATTGCCCTTACTGACCTCACCAATAAAATTGTCGATGCATTTGAGAATAGTCAATCTACTATAGGAATTTTTATTGACCTTTCCAAAGCAGTTGATACTATTGACCATAACATCCTTTTATATAAACTTTCTCATTATGGTATTCGTGGTCCCGCTCTCAATCTTTTTCGACGTTACCTTCTCTAACCGTTCACAACGGACTAAATATCTCAACACTATCTCCAACTTTCGCCAGATTACTTGTGATGTCCCCCAGGGATTCCTATTGGGCCCTCTTCTGTTCCTTTTATATATTAATGATGTTCACTTGTCTCCCAACCTTCTTTCTTTTTTTCTTTATGCTGATGACACCACTATCCTATATTCTAACAAAAAATATCCATTCTTTATTCAACATTGTTAACTCTAATTTAATTTCCACTTCCCAATACCTTGCTGCCAACAAACTTTCAATTAATCACGAGAAGTGTAGCTTCATTCTGTTTCGAAGTCCCCAAAAATCACAAACTCTCGATCCTTCAAATTTCAAAATTTATATTGATAATCACGAAATTCCCAAGACCGAATTTGCTAAGTTTCTATGAGTTTATCTTGACAGTGCATTAAATTGGAAAAAACAAATCTCCCAAATTGAAATTAAAGTATCCAAAAGCCTTGGTATCATTTTTAGGTTATCCTCATTTTTTCCCCGCAATGTTCTTCGTATTCTTTATTGCTCTATTATTCTCCCCTATCTGAGCTACTGCACCATTGTTTGGGGAAACACCTACTCATCCAACTTAAGCAAACTTCAAATCATTCAAAAGAAGGCTATCACGATTATATCTGGCGTTCCACCATGGTCTCATTCTTCTTCTTTATTTTCTAATCTCAATCTTATTACTATTCGCCGACATTAGTTCCCTTCAGCAAGGTCTTTTTATGTATTCCTCCTACCATGGTCTCTTACCTTGTCACTTCTGTAACACTTTTAAATCCAATTATTTCTTTCACAATTACAGCACACGTAACTGTGCTAATATCCGTATACCCAACCATAGCACCAATTACTTCAAGCACAACATCATATTTTTGGCCCCAAACTTTGGAATTCGTTACCCTCACACTTGATAAATGCATCTTCCATTAAAATGTTTACTAACCAATAGAAAAAACTCTTAACTTCTGACTACTAATTTTTAACATTTATTCAATCTCCTCCATCCCCACTTGGTTGCTACCTTTCGCGCGGTTTGTCGGTCTGTCTTCGACTTGTTTTAAATGTATTGTTTTTTGTCCCTTTCTTTCCTGTTTTGTCTTTTTGTCTCTTTTGTTAATTTCATATTTTTCTCTCATTTCAGGCTGTCCCTCCACAAGATTGGTTTTTCTTATCATCTCGGGTTCTTGCCTTCTTCCTCTCCTGCATTTTCAATTTATTTTAAATCAATTGTAATATTTTTGTCTGATTCAAAAAGGAAGTAAATAAATGTTGAATTGAATTGAATTGAATTGAACACTTACCATTGTTTATTTGTACACATACCATTTATCCTTTATAGTATGCCGACTTGCTTTTGACTTAATTACGGTATTATTTCTCAAATTGTATATTACCAAGAAACATTCTCAATATGTTCATTTTATGTCAAGCGTTGACAAAGACTACAGGAGTAGCCGAAATATTCACCAAATAAATTTTAGTGTTTCTAAAGTCAACATCTCACGTATTTGACTTTCATTACTGTTACGTTATATTATATTCTACATATGTTTCGAAACACACGTGGACACGCCTTCTCCACTCACACCCCCCCCCCCCCCCCCCCACCCCCCCCCATATATATATATATATATATATATATATATATATATATAATATAGAAAGACAGCAATATATAACAGCTATATATAGTTTCGAACATACTATATTTGACCGCTGCCATAATCGTAATAATTCCACTCATTGTTTTGAGTTTAAAAAGTCACAGAAGATTTCAACAGCCGAAGTGTAAAGTCACTATATATCAAAATATTGCCATACATTTTTTTACTAAAATTATTAATAAAGAATACAAATAATAACTCATAACACCTATTTTTTTACTTTTTAATGTTGATGTTTAAATGTTTAATTAACATTTTTTAGATGTTCATTATTCTAGACGTTATTAATGTTTGCATTAATAGCTATCTTCCCAATAGTAAACGGATTGGTTGTGATACACCCAAATCATAATATTGTTTATGACGAATAAGATACCTATTAGTGCTAGGAGTATGGCATGTCTAACATGCATTTTATATGATTGTGTAGTTGTAGGGGACGCTACCATTAGTGACCGAATTACCTTACTGGGATGTAAGGCCTCACAATTTTGTTTTTGTTCAAACAACTATAAATATTAAATCTGAGTAGAATGTTAATCGTCGACGTATACTAGTTGGAAGTTTTAAAATGTTGCTCTAATTGGCACCTCCTTCGTTAGTCAGATTGTGGATAAACACTTAACAAGTTCAGTGTCAATTCCCCTCATTCATCACTCATACGTAACAACCGACTCAACGTGTAACGCCGGGATTTGACCAGGGGGGGGGGGGCTCCGACATCCCCGACGGGGCATGTTCCCGACAAAAGTGAAGGTAGTCGGGCGTCGCTCGAAAGTACAGTTAGCCCTCCAATTCGAGACTACCTTCTGGACCTGAAAAATGGGGGTGGTATCTGGGTTCTTCTCCAATTAGGGGGCTAGCTTTGTGTTAAAAGGTTAAAGATTGCTATTTGGGTCTCGAATTATAGGGGTCTCGAATTTAGAGGGTTATCAAATTGGAGGGTGCACTGTATATGATAAAAGCTTATGTAATCAATTTAATATAAATATGTAGAAAATACACAATATCTTTTCCCAAGCAAAAGTGATTTTTTTTCACCGACGGGGGTTTCTGGCCCCAAACACCACCTTAGCTCCACACCAGACTGTCTCTCCCACACCTTAGTGTAACTCGACAACTTTGGCAACATTGCTAGGCCTATGCTGCGGTTAAATAAATGATATAACCCATACAAAAATTCTATAGAATTCTTTAAGAAAATAAAGAATGTCTATAGTATATTGTTTAGAAAATCCATAGAAATAGCTATAGAAGCCCACTATTAAAAATCTCTTAAAAATATCTATTAAAATTCTATTAAAGCTCTATTAAAAATATGTTAAAACCCTATTGAAAGACTTAAAAATCTATAAAAATTCTATTAAAAACTATAAAAATTCTATTTCAACTCTATAGAAAGTCTATGAAAATTTTATATAAAATCTTTAAAAAACTATAGAAAGTTTATAAACAATTTTATAAAAATCTTGTATAAATCTATAAACATTTTATAGAAAAAAACCTATAAAAAATACATTAAATATGCGAATATAAATTCAATACAATTGTATAAAAAGTGTATATAAATTAAATGATCTTCTATAGAAAATCTGTGTATTCTATAAAAACAATTGTGGGTGTTGTGTGTTTTTGGGCAATTCAACTGCTCTTCAACTGGCCCCAATTCCAATTGGTTTTCAATGGTCTCAGTTATAACTGGTCTTTAATTGGTCATGTCCCAGTTCCAACTTGTCTTTATTGGCATAACTTTCCACGGTCTCAATTCCTTGTAGCAAATTGGAAACAATGGCTTTTAATTAACTTCTGCAGACTTACAAAATACACCGAGTTCATATACAAACCATAATTTCTTTAATTAAAAACACCAACAAACATCATACGGTAGGTACATTACTTCCCTAGGTTCTCATTTACTAGCATACCCCTTCACATATCGTTTTGCTTATGTCTTACTGTTAAACATACGGTACCTCAAATTCAAGGCTATTCTACAGTTCTTTGCTTTACTGTACAGTCCTGTTTAAATAAGCATTTTTTCCGTAATGTAGTCCTATCATGTATCAAAGCATCAAAAGAGTTTACTATATAAAACAATATTCAAGAACCATTTGTGTTACAGGTGTGCACAAATCAGCATTCTCTGTGATATTGCAGCAGCAACTTTCCATAACCATGCCTTTTCTTGCCCTAAATTAGTATGAATTATGGCGTTGAACAAATCTAGTTTGAAATATTGAATCACAGTGACTTGTACTAACATTTTTCAGAGTTTCACTCTTGCTGAAAGATATAACAAAACAATATCTTTAAAAAGAATAATAATGGTCGACTTATACAGTATATAGAGAGCATATTATAGAAACCTCTATTAAATGTATTATATCCGTTTGGAATTATTGTATTGAAATAGGAGTGATATACATATTATATGTAGCTAATACGAGACTAGCAGTTACTTCTTTTGTAACGAAAAGAAAATTACCAGTTCCATTTTTTTAGTTCTCAAAACAGCTTAGGCCTACATTACAATTTCAATATCCCTTGCCTATATATGCCTAATATACATAAAATTTGATTATTTTATTAAACTATATCATGTAACTACAGCATCATCTATAGCATGTTGTTAATAATAGTATAGGACAATAAACATAAAACGTAAACAAAACATCACAGTATATTCACCTTAGAATGTCAGGTAATTTTCTGTTCCTTCACAGATACGTCTTCAAACAAACATTATTATCATTAATGCTTTCCTACTACAAAATTGAGTTGACCAGATTGAGTTTTCACCTACATACAGTGGTAACTGAGACTTGAGTATCCTGAAATAAAATCACCATTTACAGTATGTTAGTATAGGCCTACAGATTACGTTCTCTTTCTGCAAATAATGATACAATTCTTTACACCCCCGGTAAGCCCTAAACCCATTATTTTATTAAAGCATCATGGACTGCCCTCATATGGCAAAAGGGCATAACTGACAATTTGCTGTTTTAGAGATATTAAGCAAAACGTGTAATTTATTTAGCCCTAGAATGTGTTTTAGTATTTGATTTTATGGTTAATGTATTCAAATAGGCAAATAATGTCTTTACCAGTGTAGCACAATTTGTTCTATAAATATTGATTTTTGCGCTCAAAATGTCAGTTATGCCTTTTTGCCGTGGGTTTTCTGATTCAAGCCATGTTGACAAACTTTGGCAAAAGGATATAAGTACACAGTTTAGTTCCTTTCAACACAATTTTAAGTCAGATTATTCAAAAATAACATTCAATATATAATTTCGTATGTTAGTCATGTATAAACTATCGAATAAATGTACAATAATACCAAAGAAACGCATTAAATAATAGATACTAAAATTACAAACTATCAAAAACCCATGTATAGGCTAACCAAGTATACAAACAAGAAAATGAATTAACATTAGTATGCTATTATATATCAACAAAGCCTTTTTGGCTCAAGGTGCTATATCGAGGACCCTGTGTAACCAGAAAGAAAACTCTCTTCTGATTGGTTGGCTGTTGAAAGAACGTCACGCTTCAGCGTATCACAGCCTATCTTTGCAGTTATGCCCTTTTGCCTTGGGAATTTACTGAAAATTGTGTAGTTATGCCCTTTTGC